CTCTCTCAGCTCACTGCAACCTCCGCTTCCCGGGTTCAAGCGATTCTCCTGCCTCAGCCTCCCGAGTAGCTGGGATTACAGGTGCGTGCCATCACGCTTGGCTAATTTTTGTATTTTTAGTAGAGACGGGGTTTCACCATCTTTGTCAGGCTGGTCTCAAACTCCTGACCTCGTGATCCACCTGCCTCGGCCTCCCAAAGTGCTGGGATTATAGGCATAAGCTACCACACCCAGCCAAGATTCAGCTTTAATTGTCCTGCCAGTCTTCCAAAATGTTCGTGCCAACTTGAAAGCAGCTTTAGTTCCACATTCTTGTCACCACTTGGTAATGCCAGTCTGTAATTTTAGCCATTGTGGAAGATGTGGAGTAGTATAGTATTTTATAATCTATATAGTGTATAGTGCGCACACACACACACACACACACACACACACACAGAGAGAGAGAGAGAACGCATGCACATTAGGGTCTTGCTGTGTCACCCAGGCTGGAGTGCACTGGCGCAATCATGGCTCACTGCAGGCTTGACCTTCTGGGTTCAATCCACCCACGTCAGCCTCCGGGGTAGCTGAGACTACAAGCATGCACCACTATGCCTGGCTAACTTTTTAATTTTTTGCAAAGACAGGGTCTCACCATATTGCTTAGAATCGTCTCAAACTCCTGGCTCAAGTGATCCGCTCTCCTCAGCCTCCCAAAGTGCTGGGATTGTAGGCATGAGCCACTGCACCTGGCCTTGAATAGTGTGGTATCTCACTGTATTTGCTTTGTTTTTTTAATGTAGCTTTTGTGTTGTCTTGTTTTGTTTTGTTTGAGACAATTCTGGCCCAGGCTGGAGTGCAGTGGCACAATCTTGGCTTACTGCAACCTCTGCCTCCCGGGTTCAAGAGATTTTCATGCCTCAGCCTACCAAGTAGCTGGGATTACAGGTGCATGCCACTATGCCTGGATAATTTTTGTACATTTAGTAAAGCTGAGGTTTCACCATGTTGGCCAGCCTGGTCTGGAACTCCTGGCCTCAAGTGATCTGCCTGCCTCGGCCTCCCGAAGTGCTGGGATTACAGGCATGAGTCCCACCGCACCTGGTCTTTTATTTTTATTTATTTTTTTTGAGTAGAGGCAGGTTCTTGCCCTGTTTCCCGGGCTGGTCATGAACTGGCCTCACGCAATTCTCCTGCCTTGGCATACCAGTTTTGTGATTATAGGCATGAGCCACTGCCCCTAACCCTCATTGTATTTTGTGTTTTTCCAATGACAAATGAAGTTGAGCTTCTTTTTCTTTCTTTTTTTTTTTTTTTTTGA